ACCCCGTATTTAATATTTGTGGTTTAATGAAGCTTAAAATCTGGTCTTTCCAACACTATATGGTATGACACAATGTGATTGGTCTCCAGTGCTATATACGACTGCAATGACAAAATACCAATAACTTTTTCGACTACCCAATATTACAAGCTCTAAATTTACTATGTTTTTTCGTAATTTAGAATGATGGTGTAAGAATTAAGTTTCATTTGGCCCGCCCTAATGTTTTGGACCGCATTCGAATGATATTGGATTTCATAGAAAATTCAACAATCGCAACAAATTTAATACCTGCAACAGACAAATGGACATTTATACTCAAATACGATACATATATATATGTATGATTGATATGAATCAGACAAAGCTTCTGAAGATATCAGTTTCATTTAATTAAAAACTCAAATTAATTTATCGGATCTGATGCCCTTTGTGAGCTTTGTGACTAGGCAGTATAATTAGCTAGTAATTAATGAATGCCTTTGAAACAGTTATATATTTCATGAAACAATTAAAAAAAATTATGTATATAAATAAATAGTAGTTATAATTACCCACTAGATACTACTTAATGACTTTGTACTAGTTCGTATCTAAGTAAGATATGTATATGCAGTGCTACCAATCACCATGCTCTTCTGAAGCAATTATCGAACTCACTTCTTAAGAAGGATGAGGCAAAACTAATAGCAAAACTACTCGCCTCTAAATGCAGCACATACACACAGAAAACCGTTGAACAAATTCCCTTAATGCCGTTATGTAGTCATAAGGCTTCAACGCAAGATCACACGGAATACCCATGTGTAGCATATGTGTGCAGAATATAACCGCAAACTGTTTTACTTGTTTGTGCAGCAAATTGTTTGTGGTTTTGAGGATAGAAATTCTTTTCATTCAATAGTTTGCTGCCGAATTCACCAGTGTTAGTGCATTGTTGTGGTCAAGACCTTCATTAAAGTGCGAGCTCATGGAATAATAAATGTGAAAACTGAGGCAAACTTTTAGCCAAAGATGATTTTAGGATTATATATAGCTTATTTGCATAAAGTCAAATTTGGTGATTTCTGAAGAAGAGAGATTACTCAGGGCCTATATTCAATTTAAACTTTTTGTTGGATATTTGACGTGTTGAAGAATGGAAAAAACACCTGGTTATAGACAGGGTTTCATTCGACAAAGCGTGGCTTTTTCCAACTGAAAGTGTACTGAATCTGTACGCAATTCTTTAAGGCAGCAGTAGCAATATATTGACACTTTGCGGCATCATCTCTTAGCTAAAACTTTATTTCTCAATTTCGATAACTTTCAATCATCCCTTACTGCGTCAGTGTTCTGCGTCAGTGAAAAAGATACCGATGAAATTATGGAAAAGATTAACAGGATCGTCACATGAGCATCCATAATATCACGAAGGAACTTAACATTTCTCCTCAAATGGTTTTGAACCATTTAAAAGAGGCTGGCAACGAAGACAAGCTCCATGTTTGGGTACCGCATAAATTGTCTGTTGAAGCTTTAATGGACCGAATTAACATCTGCGATTCTTTGCTGAAATGAAATGAAATCGAATCATTTCTGAAGCGAGTGGTAACAGAAGACAAAAACTGTATCAAATACAATAATAATATGCGAAAAAGATCATGGGCCAAGCGTAAAAAAGCTCAACACATGGTCGCAAGGCCAGGAATGTCGTCTCGAAAGGTTATGCTGAGTGTTTGGTGGGATTGGAAAGGAATCATCCATTATGAGCTGCTTCAAACTGGTCGAACGATGATTCTACATTCCACCATCGAACCTCTATTTGTTTCGGCCAATGCAGAGCTCCTTTAATGAAATAAATAATTGCAAGAGAAGCCTGTGAAAATTACTTGTCCCAGTTTTTCGCCGAGAAATCAAAAAACTTTTAAACTTATGGAATAATATGTCAGGCGAAAAAATAGAATAGAAGTATGCCTCGCATCTATTTAAATAAGATAATTCTTAAATATTTTCGACATACTACAACCCTGTTGATATATTTGTATATGTAAATTTTTTACACTCCTCCTTGACTTTACATTGGCTCTCATAAAAGTATAAAAACAGAGTTCTGCTCACCGAAGTCGAGAAGAAGTTTTTAAAAGTTTTGATATTCAAGGTTGCGTAATTGAGTGTTCTTTTAATAATTACAAGGCACGTGCACATTGCGTTCACACACGCTGCCCCGGTGTTTGCTATTGGAAGTTTGCACGATGCACAGAAATATTTAATTAATCCTAAGGGGCAGTTCACTTGGTGTATGCACACGAGGAAACTTTCGAGTCTTAATATAGCGCTATTGAAAAGATTTTTAATCAAACAACAAGCAACAGCCTCAACTTCTGTGAACGAAATGTCCAGAAAATAGTAAAACATATTCACTCAAAGTACATGAGAAGCAATAACTGAATGCGACCCAGTTAGAACTCGGCAATTGTTGCCTCTCGTTGGCATCTAAGACTTACTAGTATAAATTTATAGAGGATGGACGTAAAACATAGCAAAAGGCAAGTCGAGGTATGTTTATTGGAAATAGATTAAGTTGGGTTAGCAGCAATGGCTGATCCTCAAGATGGGGCTCGCACTTGGATTACTATGTATTGTCTGTATCACTCACTGTACTCAGACCAAATAAGTCGACAAAGTACTTTGGGTCTAATACAAAACTCCTTAAGCCTTTTATTTATGTTGTCACCAGCTCGGAGGGATGTCTGACAGTGTGAGCTTCAAAGCGTTGAAGCCTGAAGTCAAGAAGAAAGTAATGAGATATTTTTACAAAGGCTTATATGAACAGCTTCTACAACTGGCATTCGTTTTCGCCTTACCGCTTAAAAACCGATAAAATAATCTCAAGTTGCAACCCTTATAAAAAAATTCTAGCTTCATTGAGAGCGAAGAGCACATTTTTTTTGCGATCAACTTTGAGCCCTAGTGATTTTGTCACGGAGTAGATTAACCGCTATATTAATGGCAGCAATCCTGGCTTGAAAAGCGCTGCAGTAGATAGGAAGCTTGAAAATGGAGTTGATAGATAGTTCTTGACTATATATCTCTTCACCATTCTTCCTCCGAAGTTTTGAAAGAGCTATATCCGGTATAAATTTTAAAGCTTGAAAGAATTCCTGCGTGTTTAGACACATTTTCATTTAGAAAGCTAGATTTTGTAATAACTTGCATTTATTGCATTCTATTTGCGTACCTAATGAAGTTGGGCACTTGAGAGAGTAATTTTGAATTGTAAATCTGAAACTCAATTTTTTGATAAATCCCCTTTTTTAACATATTTTATTCCCACAGGGAAGACACATGCATATAACAACCTTGTTAGTTTAAATTTTCTTCGGTTTCGCGTTGTTGTTTTTTTTTTTTTTTTTTTTTTTTTTTTTTTTTTTTTTTTTTTTTTTTTTTTTTTTTTTTTTTTTTTTTTTGTTTTTTTTTTGCACATCTTTAATCTGTTCGGAATGCAGTTACATGAGTTCCTGTTTGCAAACTTTTGTTGCAAGCAAATTTAAATTAAATTTCGCTCTCCATTCGCCACTTCCCACAGTTGATTCACGCTCTGTGCATTTGCCCATATTTATTTTATTTTTGTATTCCTTTTCATTTTCAGTTTACCTTTTCCTTCTCTTTATTTACTTTGTGCATGGGCAATGGTGATTAGTTGCCATGGCGTTGCTGACACTGTTCTGTTGTTGGTGTTGCTGTTGGCCACGGTTTTTGCTGGCGCGCACAAAGTGGCTCAAGTGTTTTGCAGTTATGCACATAAACACTGAAAAGGCGCCAGTAAGGCCTTTTGTAAATTTTTTTAAAAGGGACGGTTTTCGATTGGCTTTCTATTTTTTGGGTTTTTAACTGTCGCTCAGGTAAGAGTTTCTGGGAATAGGGGTTATTCAATTAATGAATTTTCCAACGGCGCAAATATAATGATCTAATGGTCAAACAGATGTCGTCAACCGAGGTTTAATATTAAAGGGAACCGGATTGTGGCTTCTCTCAATATATAATATCTCTTAGTTAGTCGGAGCGCCTATCACAAAGACAGTACAAATACATTTCTGACATTTAACAAACTATTCACTGAGAGCACGAACACATATCTTATTATTTAACATCTAAATCGGACTAAAAATATCGTTGTAGACATATTTCGATGCGACATCTACCGGGTACTTTTGACTCAAATATCTAATTTAATGTGATATATATGCGATTCCTGGTCAATAGATGTCAATGCAGTCGTGTATCGACAGTGGTCACCAATCAAATTGTGTCATGCCATATAGCCCTGATCCTGCACAATCGAACTGCCTTTTGTTTCGGTTATTAATGGCTTTAAGAGAAGCCTGCGAAAATTATTTGTCACAGTTTTTCGCCGAGAAATCAGAAAAGTTTTACACTAATGGAATAATGTCTCTAGCGGAAAAATGGCAAAAATTGATGGGTCAAAATGATACATATTTGGTTAATTAAGGATCGTTATAAATAAAAAGTTGAAGTTTGATTAAAAATGCGAAAAGACTTTTTCGACTACCATATATAAGTATGAAAATAAGTATAGTTTGTATAGAAAATCTTAGCAACAAAATGGTATGACTTTGTATTCGAATTTCCTTGCATAACCCAAGTTTTGTTTGGAAAAATATTAATACCTAAAAGTTTTAATACCCAAATCTCACTCATTTCACTTTTCAACAAATTAAATAGCTTTTGCGTTTATCACTCCTAAAGGATTGCAAAAATTCATTTTACTTACATTTTAGATATTGCTCGTTGCGGATAATCACTTTTTCGGCGTTTTTTCGCGCTTGAAAGAACCATTCGGACGTGTTGCCGAGATAATGATATTCCATGGAGAGATCCTTGGCCAGTATTGCGCCCAGGTGTGGGGCTGGCAGACGATAGGCGAACGGGCAGAAAAGTCCCGACTGCGAAGGATGCTCATTCCAATCGAAACAATTGCCAGCGGCAAAAATGTCGTCGTCGAATTCGACCATCGAAAGCACGGAAGCGTGCAGCAGATTGACGTCGGCTTGCGCGGCCGGTGCGGTCATCTTGAAAATTCTGCAAAAATGCAAATGAAAGTAATAAATTACTAAGCGCGATTTCGCCAAATGTATGTATGTATGTATATGTGGATGCGTCAGTCTGTATATATGATAAAGATAATTTATGTTGCGTATACGTCCTGCACACCGGGAACGCTGACAAGTTAGGCTGCGCGGTAACCAATTACCACAGTTCGCAGCATGTGAAAATTGCCACATTTACCAAATTTCGCTGTTATACAAGTTTCAGCATAAACGGAAGCACCACATACGTCACTCACATGCCGATAAAATAGAAGGAAATAGGCTCGTCGAAAAATCAGAATACTAACTGTATTCATGAGAGCAAATTGACATTTTCAAAAGTCAATTTGCCACGTGACGTGGCAGATGCGAAACAATGCCGTTATAAAAAGCAAGGCAAATGCGCTTATTTACATTTAATTATGCTAATTTGCAATACTCATAAATTGCAAACGCGCTGCAACACTCCTCGGAAACTGTAAACAAATGCAAGTGAAAAGCAAATAACAACAAAACAAAAAAGAAGAAAAAAACTGTAAAAAAAGGAAAAAAAATTGAAAACAAAAATCCGCCGGCATAATGGTAAATAAACCGCTACATAACCCCGACAATCAAGTAATCGACGATCACAGTAGGAAGCAATACAAATTCACAATGGTCGGAGAGCGGGTGGTGGACTCTTGTCGGGGTGAGGATGGAAATAGCTTACAATTAATGCAGATTAAAAATAAACTGCGTCGCTTGACAGAAGCAATTAGTTTGATTGAAATGCAAGTAACGCTTGCGTTAATGAGTCGGTTGGAGGCTCTCCACTGCCAGGCCAGAGGAAATTGTTTCCATCAATGCAATATGTACGAAGATGTTTACTGAGAAGCTTGATTGTGATTTTGCTTATATTCAATTTAAATGCTTCCATGCTCTTAGAAGAGTATTTATTGTGTGTCACTATTTTTATAAGCCTATATACAGTTTCCAGGAGCATACTGAATTTCCTCCTATAAGACTTGTGCAAAAAGATTCGCAAATTTTGTATTTCTTAAGAAGTGTTTATTTATTCACGAATATCTACTTTGTCTCCTTCCAAGTGAAAACCCCCATATATGTTGCACTTCTGCCAACGTTTTTTCCAATGATCAAAGCACTTAGGAAAAAACTTTTAAAAAACTTGTTCTATTTCTCCTCCTCTCAATCCCAGCGTGGCGTCATTCTTACAAGAGCTTCTTCAATTTTGGGAACGAAAAAATTCAGAACGGACTACACTTTGAGGAATACCGTGGTTGTGGTACCCTTAATGTGTTTTTTTTTTTTTTTTTTTTTTTTTTTTTTTTTTTTTTTTTTTTTTTTTTTTTTTTTTTTTTTTTTTTTTTTTTTTTTGTTTTTTTGGCCAAATAGTGTTATCATAATACAAAAGCTAATTTTCATCATTCCAAAAATCTGGGCGTATCTGAAGCATTGCCTCACGCAAGTTGCGCATAACTTGCAGGTAATACACAAAAGCTGGCCGACGGGGGTTAAGCTCGAAAATTCTAACAAAAGGTTTCAAGACCGGAGAATACTATTGTAGATTCCCCAGAGGTGATCTAGTGACTGAGGCTCAAATTATGGAGGGAACACTTCTCCAGCCTGCTGAACAGCAGTAAACGCATAACGCCAGGAGATGTTGAATCCGATCTCCCAATCGATGACGATGGAGCAGACGTTCCATGGTCCGACCATGAAGCAGTTCGAATAGCAATTGCAAGTCTGAAGAACAATAAAGCAGCGGGGGCTAATAGATTGCCGGCTGAGCTATTCAAACAACCGTCAGGAAATCAACAACTGAAAAGAAATCGACACACACCACCTCTTCGTCGATTTTAAAGCTGCTTTTATGCCGCGACGCCTGAATTTGGTATCTTCGCAAACACGGCTGTATAAACTGACGTTGAGCAGCACCAAAAGCTCCACTAGGATCGCGAATAACCTCTTCGAGCCGTTCGATGCCAATTCACACAAGGCGAATCCCTTTCGTGCGACTTATGCTATCTTTTATAAGAGTGTAAAACTGCTGGCGTACGCCGATGCCATCGATACATTGGCCTAAACAACAGCGCCGTAAGTTCTGCTTTCTCAAGGTTGGACAAAGAAGCAAAGCAAATGGGTCTGATAATGAACGAGGACAAAACGAAATATACTCGATGTTGCGAGTATTCGAGAGAGGTTCTGCGGAAGATTTATGATCCTTTACCAATGGGCTAAGGCAAATATAGCACTCAACTGAACGATGACGTTATACGACGATATTGCCAAATTTCAGCGAATTAGAAGACAGGGGCCCTGCTGGCTAAGTCATATTGTCCGAATGGACGAAAACACTCCAGCTTTGAAAGTATTCGACACAGTACCCGCCGGGAAAAGCAGTAGAAGAGACAGATCTCCATTCCGTTCCACTCCAAGAACAAGCTGGGTCATTAAGGACTGAGTTCAGTATCTCAGCAATGTCAACGCGACGCTGTTGTTCGTCGTAAGTGAGCAATTCTGGCGCAAAATTGGGGCGATTCGACTCATACCCAAATCATTAGTTCAAGTCGAAAGGCACAAGGCAACCGACGTGTTTACTTCCTCAGCAATTTCTCTAATAGTGACGCGACGATTGGCTAAAATCGAAGACGAACCGAAACGCGTCCATGCAAAACAGCTGGCGGAAACCAATTAAACACTCAAAATGTCCGACCTTGGCAGCATAAGTAAGGCATATGAGTATGAACGTAACGCAGTCGATAATCGAGTACACATAGCACGCGAAAATTCAAAAGTCGCGATACTTTTTTACAAATTTCGGAACTCGTTCAGGGATAAAAAGGACATGTCTCAAGCATTAAGCATAACTGTTCATGTCTGCAATGCTTGTATGTTCACTGCGAGCTATTGCTCCATAAATTTATGTTTGCCTCTACTTGGTTAGATATAACATCTTTTCTAGGTTCCTCGAACCCTAGTGCAAAGCCATGAACATAAATATTAGTGCGCATATAATTAAATGAATTAAATGAGGGTTTACAGCTACCGCAAAGCCACTGAAATATGGCAACTTATCCTGCTCCAAAGCGTGCTGAGTCCATGCCAAAAGTTTGTACAATTCACTCAAATATTTCATGCAATTATTATGCGGAAATAAAATTAAATTAATGGCTTCAGCTCAACGGAGATGGCAAAAAAGTTCGTCGTTTACAAGAAATTAAAAGTTCTACGAGCGCAGAAGGCACGTATGTGCATGTGTGTGTGTGTATATAAGCGGCAGCAGAAGCTTTTTGTCTCCGCGCCATACGTCATAAATCTGCCGGCGCTGTAAATTATCCGCTTTTTGTTGTGGTCGCCGGTTTAATAAGCGCTGCAAAGGGGAAAAGCAATATTTCACACACTCCACACACAAACGAACAGTGCCCTCGCCTTCTATGCTTTTACCCGTGCACTACTTGTGTTGTTACGGCTTTCTTGTTGTTTTTTTTTTGGCATTGTTGCTGCTTAAATTATGATAATTAACTGTGCTTGCCAACAGCAAATTGCCGCAACATAATTTAAAATGAAAGCGAACTCTTCCTTTGTCAAGTTGCTTGTAATTACCATTGGCTAACCGAATGTAATCACCGGGAAGCATGTTTTTTTTCTCTGGAACTGCTTTTCATGTCTGCAGAGTCTTCGCAGATCAACTTTATAGAGTTTTCAGTTAGTTCCGAGGATAAATTTTATGAAGTTGGCAACAGTTGCGCAGCACAACCTTCCTAAAAAAGCGCTGCTGGCTGTGCTGTTTCTGGTAATTGACTATTAGAACACACCATTTAACGGTGAAATTCAGTGATTTTAGTGAATTCAATTTAAAGCATAGACGGTAACTGCAGTACTGCGCCAAGTCCTAGCCAACACACTTTACGACACTCTTGCCTTGCACATTAACACTTAATCCCGCACCAGAGAGCTGCTCGAGAAGCGTGCGTTTCTGCGCAATTGAGATTTGCTGAAACAAAACCTCGAGTGACGTCACTAAGACACTTCACTTGCTGTCACTTCAACGTACTTGTCGACAAAAAAGAAACTAGAAAAAGATTTAAGCTGCAAAATAACAAAGGAAATGGCGAGTGAGCGTGAGTCTAGAATGCACGTACACACTTGCAAGTGTTGAGCGCTCTGGTCCGTGATTCTACTTTAGATTGATGCAAATGCGCACCGTTACTTGCGAAGCGTTCACATGAAGGTAGGTGTGTGAAGTGCCCACTAGGAAAACTTTCGGTTGCCAAAAGCGTGATATTTGCAGAATTTTCATTTATCATTTATAAATAACTAGAGGACCCGTCCACGCTTCACTGTGGCTGATACATAGATAATACTACTACTACCGTTTACAAGATTCCTATTAGTTGGATTATAACTATTAGTTAATGAGATATAGCATTTTTGGGAAGCAACTTGTGTTAGTTGACAAAAAAAGTGGATCATAAAGCCATTTCGTGAGTTAATAAAGCATTGCTTCTTTGGGGAAAATACTGTCGAATTTGGGCGCTGCATCAGGGAAATACACCGTTGAAAAGCTATTTGCTAAGCTGAAAACAGGCGAAATGACCAAAGAAGATGCCTCGCAAGTTCATAATCCTGCTTCTGAGAAGTGTTTAAGGCTCTCTAATTGGAATAAAGCCGAATTTTTGCGTCGGTGGTAGAAACATAGCTCCATCATTTCCCACTGGAGTCCAATCGACAGTCATTATTAGTGAATTGCACTTGATGAACCGGTTCTCAGGCGCGGAAAGACAAAAAAGTCGGCTGGAAACATTATGACATCAGCCATTTGGAATGCACTTGGGATCATACATACTCAACGACTGATTACTGAGCCAGTTATAATCTATTTCACTGCGCATTTGGTTGCAGTTTTTTCATCCCTTCCAAATACTTACTTAGCAATATTAGAGTATTATTTTTGAGGATGAAGTTTAAAATTGTACGCATATATTCAATTAA